AAAGGGCGGGGGGACAGTTCAGAAGTGTTCATGAGACCAACAGCAAGAGGGAATGAAACTGGTCTGTGACGGGAGGTTTCTAGTCCTGAAGGACCGGCAGTCACCTGCCAAGGGGAGGGTTGAAATAGTCCAATGTGCAGGATGAGAGTCGGCTGTGATACGACCAAGCCCGGCCTCGAGCTCGGCGACGTACAGGTCCTGCAGCGAGGAAGCGCGGCCAATCACTTCCTCTTCAAGCGCACAATGCGCGTAGTCTCTGTTTGTCCCTGACTGGGCTCCCGCGACAACAACCACGGTGACGAGGAGGTGAGGATGGACTCGTGATGCCGTGAGAACTGCACCACATCCTGTGCAGCAGCTTGGCTTTTCCTGGATCGGCTGCAGAATACATCCTCTGCAGGGCCCTTCATCGATGAGGAGCAGATGGTTCAGCTCCCACTTGAGGTCCGGGGTTTTTTGATGGTGGTGCCCAGGCAACGAAGGGGAAGTCCATCACGGAAGGTGGGGGCGGGGGACCGTGCTCATCCTGAAGTACCACAATCATCTCCACTGTCTTCTGGGCGGACAGCTCCAGGTTGTTAACCCACTGCACCAGACACCAGCCGGTCCAGAGCATCTCCGCCGTAGGGCGCTCATCGTTCTTGAGATGAGTCCAATGGAGGAGGTGGTCATGCCGCGAAATTGAGCAGCTTCACAGAGTCTGGGCTGGGAGGTGCAGTGGTTGGGTGTACATGGAAAAAGAGCAGGGGAAAAGAACACAGCCCTTGGGTGCTCCTGATTATAATCCGATAGTCGAGACATCTTCCCCAGACGCGACTCCTCGCTGCTCTCCTGTCTGTCAGGAAGGTCAGTGATCCACCTGCAGGTGGAAACGGGCACGTTGAGCCTGGAGAGCTTGTCCTGGAGCAGGGATGGCAGGATCGTGTTGAAGGCAAGCTTAAGGTCCACGAACAGTACCTGGCGTAGGTCCCCGGGGAAGTCCAAGTCTTAGGGATGGTGGTGGAGGGCAGGTTGATGCGTTGTCTACAGATCTGTTGGTCTCTGTAGGCGAACTGCAGGGGCGTCCAAGGAGGGGAGGGTGGACGTGAGATGGGAAGAGGAACCAGCGTTCAACAGACTCTCATGACGACAGACAAGTGCCTAAAGTCTTGTAGTCATTGACTCCTGTGATCCTGGGCTTCTTCTGGACGGGGGCAATGATGGAGGATGTTGAAGCAGGCCGGGCACCATGGCAGGACTGCAGAGAGGAGTTGAAAATGTCAGTGAACACAGGAGTTAGCTCACTCGCGCAGTGGTCTCAGAGTGGCTTTGGAGACACTTGGTCCGGGCCCAGGAGCTTTGCGGTGGGTGGCAGCCCAAGAAGAGTTGTTTAATATCTCTGTGCCGGAACTTGGCTGCTTCGAGTTCGTACCCTGGAACTGATATTTAGCTGCGTGTAGCCGCTGGTCCCCCTCGCCTGAAAGCCCGACAAGACATGGCATCCATCCACCTTACAAGGGCACCTTACCGCTCTACTCCCAGGGAACTTAGGCTCGTCCACCGTGCTGTCCGGTGGCTTAGCAAGGTGGGTGTTGAGAACCTTCCTCTGCCAGTGTTCTTCCTTGCATGCTAGGACCACAGCCACCTGCTTAGCTGATAGGCAAGAGTGAAGAAGTGAAGAACGCCCTACCCGCAATGATTGCGCATAAGTGAAACGATTTAACTGAACTTGGAAACTGACATTGAAAATGTTCAAAAAGTTGACATACACACTGGTCCCTCTTCCTCCTGCGCCTTCGGCATCAAGATACAATAGTTTTGTTCAGAATGTTTTTTCAAACCGTAACCGGTAATATGTTGCTTGTAATGTTGATGTTATAATAGACATAAAGCCATCGACTTGATCACCACAGCTGAAAGGAGGGGAGCTCAGGAACAACTGCCAAATTGCGACTCAATTTTGGGCTGGGGTACACCCATATCCCCCTGCATAAAGACGTTGCCTAAAACCCGTTACCGTGATCCAACGATTTCAGGCGTTCAGACTCTTCAACTCAGCAGCCACTCAGCTGTCTTGACGAACGCCCTGGTACTATCACGTGACGTTCCCTCCAGGCCAACATCAACCAAGGCGACCCTCCTCCAGCCCTTACCTATCTCTATACATAAGTATACGATACGGTAACTCCGCTTGGGAGTGCTTTCAACTAAGTATTTCAAACGACCTAAAAAACCATATGAGAGTTTTCAAGTTTGTTCCCCGTCCCAACTGAACACTTCCGGTCTCCCATAACTAAACCAGAGATGAACTGTGACAATTCCTGCCCACCGAGTAGGCTGTAACAAAAGCAAAGGATACACAACAGGATAGCACTTGGCTTTGACAACAGTCAGTAATCTGTAATTTGTAAGTGACTTTTATTTAGGACTCCCTTTGAAAAAGAGGTCCTACACAAGGACTTTATTCCTGGTTAAATAAAGTAAAAAAAATAATAATAAATTATATATAGATATATAATTCTATTATATAATATTAGGCTGTCCAAATTATTCGCGTTAATTCACGTTATTTACCAGTTTTCATTAACGCTAAGAAAAATAATTAACGCATTAACTGCCATTACTGTCAACTCTTGTTGGTTGTACCCAAAATTAAGAAGGTTGGTGAGCAAGTCATACAGACTTATAGCAGAGCTCGGGAAGACCTGCGTCCCACAGAAAACTAGGGAACACAAGAGCCAATGGAGAGTCCCAGGAACAAAATTCCAATGTAGTGACACGGAAAACCATAGAGGAGGGCTCCACAAACAGAACGCGTTTAGGCTCAAAAAGGTGAGATTTTAACTTATTTTGGATTAAAATGGACAAATATATGGCCAGGAACATTTATGGAGCACTATAGAAACATATTTAGGCAGTGATAAGTAAAAAAAAGTTTATTTTGGTGTTTAGTTAACTCTTTAGGTACATTTGTATGAATAAAAATTGTCCTTACATTTGAAAAAAGCTCATTTACTTCAATGTGGAGTGGGTTTGAAAATAGAATGTTAAAAATGCGATTAAATCTTGAGTTAACTCACCATTACTCTGGCGATTAATCCAACTAAAAAACATTATTCGTTTGACAGCCCTAATATATATATATAGATATAAATATATACTATATATATATTATATATATATATTTATTTTTACCTTTTGGGCAATAACAACCACTAGCAGGAGCACCGCGTACCAGTGATTTACGCGTACCACACTTTGAGAATCACTGAACTACGTCATACAAGCACCTCAAGACTGACTGACATATACACTACAGACCAAAAGTTTGGATGCTTTGTCAATCTATTGAGTTGTAGATTCACTCTCAGCCTGTGTAAGGGCAAGTTGACCCAGGGTCCTCCACATCACCTACTGTGGAGGCAATCCAGAATGGTTTTGTGATGAGTTGGACACAAGTGAAGGTGAAAGGCCAACAAATGCTAAGCATCTCAGGGATCTCCTTCAAGACTGTTGAAAGATCCTTTTCAACTCACTACTACCTCTTGAAGCTCAAAGTCAGAGAATGCCAAGAGTGTGCGAACAGTAATCAGAGCAAAAACAAAGGTGCACTTTGAAGAACTTCGAATATAAGACATATTATCAGTTGTTTTCATACTTTTGTACTTAAGTACATACATAATTCCACATGATATCAATTCTGCAGTGTTGATGCCTTCAGGGTGAATCTACAATTTACATAGTGAAATAATGAAAAATGAAAATAAAAACAAATCTTTGAATGATAAGTGGTGTCCAACACTTTTTTATACGTTGTCAAAGGCTACAATATTACTTCTCACCTTCAATGGAAGAGGAGAACGTAATATGTTATACACTTCTAGAACTACCCACCATTATCACAGCTACTCACAAAGTCTTTAGCATATAGCTTAAAACATACTTTTAAAAAAAAAACTTAAAATGTTTGTATTTTGTTAATTTTATTTTTCATTTTTAGTGTCGTGTATCAAATTAAACATCTCTGGAGTGCAATCGTCTTCAAAGTTCATTGTCCAACACATTGAGTTAAACATTGTAATCTAAATAAAGTTTTGAGAGACACCGTCCCTATTCGAACAACACAACACAGACAACAAGCCGCTATGCCAAGCTACAATCATTTTCATTATTTATTTGAGAAGTAATTCAATAATTCTTTTTTTAAATCTCTTATATATCTTGCTAAATAATTTCCCCCAGGTTACCAGACGGAGGGTGCCAAGTTACCAGTGCCACTCACACCTCAGCCAGAAAGCATCACGACCAACCCTTCACAGACAAGGCCATACCCCCCGCACTGTGGCCCCAAAGCGGGCGACCCAAAGGAGAACGCCCACCACACCCACATCAGCAGCACACAAGAAACATGGACATTATGAACCGTCCCGGCCCAGGGCATGTCAGGGTGAGCCACGAGTCACTAGAGCACCATCCGCCGGGACATTCCCAAAGTGAAGCAGACTGACACAAGAATGTGGTTATGTCGTGAGACTAGTAACAATGAGTGGGAATGACTCCATAGTTTACGTGTTGATTATTTGTATTCTAAAGTCGAACAAGAATCCCAAATAAAAGCTGATCCTAATAAATAATAAAAACTAAAATAGCCTAACTTTGAAACACAAAAATTAATAATCCATAGTTATTGTTTTCTCTCATCCTCGCAAAACTCTTTACTCGTCCATTGAATAGTTTTTCACATGTAAGTATTTTTTGGGCCTCTTTCACACCTTAACTAGCTTTTTCAAGTGGAAAAGAAGAGAGTTAACTCTCTAAAGCCAATCAGCGCTCAGTATGTAAAAGACAGCATTGTTTCTATAGATGAAAGGACAGCATGTTGTGTTTCTGAATTTTGGTTCACAAAATGTTACTTACACAAGAATGATTGGACCTAATAATAAAGGTTTTGGGGCAAAAAAAGAAGGAAAAATAGAGACAACACAATAAATAGGTTGCCTTTATGTTTTGTGTGACAAAAGTCAGAGGAAGCGCAGAAGCAGCCACAGAGGGCCTCCTCCAGCCCCCAAACCCCAGCCCTCACCCCTGTGGCACCGCGCTGCAGAGCCTGAACCAGAACATTGGTCAGGACAACCGATGAGATCAGCTTCGAAGTCATGACGTCTTGTGGAAAGAACCTGACGCATAGAATGAAGTTAAGTATTGTCAACCATGGATTGAAATCTTTTTCATTAAAATTGGTTTCACACCCCCGCTGTCCTCGAAGCTTACGTCACTCTCATTTCCTTCAAATCTTCCTCTAAATGGGCGTAGCCTGGAGGACTAACGGGGGCGTGAACCGAACTGGCCGTTACATTGCTCAGGGCGGGGCGGCTTGACGTCAGGGCCAACTCCTGTGCCAGTTTGGGCCGGCCAAGTCAAAATTCAAATGAGTAAAAGCAGGTCGCCATCAGGATGGCGCCTCACAGACCGGTTTTAGGCAGAAAAGTCTGACTATCTCTCTCCACAACAACAACGAAAGAAAGAAAATCAAAAAAAAATAAGAAAGGAAGATGAAGAAAAAGACAACACAAACAAAAAAAAACAAAATAAGAAAATAAAAGGAAACAGAAAAGGAAAACCAAAAACAAAGAACAAAAGCAGGAGTGTACAGTGGAGGAGGAAAAGAGAGAGATAGTCAGACTTTCAGCCTAAACCCGTCTGTGAGGCCGCATCTGCTGGCGACCTGTTTTACTACATTTGGAAATTTTGAATCTGGCGCCACACTGGCACAGAATTTGGACCTGACGTCACCGCCCCCGCCCAGAGCAATGTAACGGTCCCAGTCATCCCCCCCCGTTCACGCCCCCTTAAGTCCTCAACAGGCTACGCCATTTAGAGGTAGATTTGAAACAGGAAGTGTGAGTGACGTAAGCCCGCGGAGCGGGGTGAGAACCACTTTAATTGAAAATATTTCAATCCATGTAGTCAAACCTTACTTACGCTTCTTGAGCAGTTCAAAGACGGCATTGACTTCGAAGCTGATCTCATCGGTTTCCCTGACCAAATGTACTGGTACAGAGCTCTGCAGCGCGTGGGCACAGGGGTAGGCTGGGGTTTGGGGGCTGAGGAGGCATGCTGTCTGATGCTGCGCCATCCGCTGCTTTCTGCACACAAAAACAAAAGGCAACATATTATTGTGTTGTCTCTATGTCTTCTTTTGCCCCAAAACCTTTATAATCGGTCCAATCATTCATGTTAGAGTAACGATTTTGTGAACAAATCAGAACACAACATGCTGTCTTCATCCAATAGAAAACAATGCAGTCTTTTACATACGAGAGCGGATTGGCTTAAGAGAAGTACTCTCTTTTTTTCACTGAAAAAGCTAAGTTAAAGGTGTGAAAGAGGCCAAAAATACTTACCTGTGAAAACAACAATAGGAAGTAAAGAGTTTTGAGAGAGAGAAACCATACCTATGGATTTCTTACAATTTTGTGGTTTCAAAGTTAAGGATATTTTAAGTTTTATTAATTATTAGGATCACTTTTATTTGGGAATCTTGTTAGACTTTAGAATACAAAAAATCCACCGTAACTCCTTAGTCATTCCCACCATTGTTACTAGCCATCGACATAACCACATCATGTGTCAGTCTGCTTCCACTTTGGGACATGTCCCCGGCTGGTGCTCTGTGACCAGAGCTCCACCCTGACATGCCCGGTCCGGGGACGTTCATAAAGTCCATGTTGCCTGTGCTGCAGCTGATGGCGGGTGTGGTTGGGCGTTCTCCCTTTGGGTGCCCATCTTTGGGAGCACAGTGCGGGGGGGATGGGCCTTGTCTGTGAGGGGTAGAGTAAGTGGATGCTTTCTGGCTGAGTGGGTGAGTGCACTGGAAACTGGCACCTCCGTTCGGGGAACCTGGGAAAATTATTTAGAAAGAATATTTAAAGAGATTTAAAAAAAGAATTATAATTGACTTCATAAAAAAAAAAAAAAAAAAATAAATGTGAAATGATTTGTAGCTGGATGGCTGCTTGTTGTCGTGTTGTGTTGTTCGGAATAGGGACGGTGTCTCACAACACTTTATTTCGAGTACAATGTTTTAATCAATGGTGTTGGACAAATAAAACTTTGGGAAGAGATTGGCAATACAGTGATTGGGTTACATAAATACACACACTAAAAAAGAAAAAACAAATATATAAAATACAAACATTTTAAGGTTTTTTTTTTACAAGTATGTTTAAGCTATAGCTAAAGACTTGGTAGTAGCTGTGATAATGTGGGTAGTTCTAGAAGTGTAAAACATATGACGTCTCCTCTCCATCTGAAGGTTGAAAGTAATAAAGAAAGCCAGTTGACAATGTATAAAAAAAGTTTTGGACACAGCCTTCTCATTCAAAGATTGGTTTTTAATTTTCAATATTTTCATTATTTTTCACTATGAAAAATGTAGATTCACACTGAAGGCATCAACACTATGAATTTAACTCATGTGTAGCTTATCGTATGTACTCTTAAGTAAAAAGTATGAAAACAACTGAAAAATTGTCTTATATTCTAAGTTCACTCAAATTAGCACCTTTTGCTCTGATTACTGCTTCGCACACTCTAGCATTCTCGTGAGGAGCTTCAAGAGGTACGTGATAGAAAAAGTCCCTTCCATCAGTCTTGAAGGAGATTCCCTGAGAGGCATAGCATTTGTTTGGCCCCATCTCACCCTTCATCTGTGGTCCAACTCATCACAAAACCATCTGGATTTGCCCTCCACAGTCTGGTGACTGTGGAGGCCTGGTCAACTACCCCTTACACAGGCTGAGAGTGCATCTACAACTCATTGAATGACAAGCATCCCTAACTTTTGGTCTGTACTGTATATGTCAAAGTCTGTCTGTCTGTATTGACGTAGTTACAGATATTCCAAGTGTAGGTACGCGTAAATCCTGTACGCCGGGGGCTCCCACTATGGGTATGCCAAAATGATAAAAATAAATATATATATATATTATATATATATATATATATATAATTAATATATATATATATTAGGGCTGTCAAACATAATATTTTTTAGTTGATTATCGCATATAAAAGGTGAAGTTAACTCACGATTAATCGCATTTTAAAACATTCTATTTTCAAATCACTCCAATTGGAAGTTATATGAGATTTTCAAATGTAATGACAACATGTTTATTCATACCAAATGTAACTTAAAGAGTAACTAAACACAAATCAACTTTTTTTACTTATACACTGCCTAAAAATGTTTTCCTATCGTGCTGCCTACATGACCTAGGCCATATATTTGACATTAATCCAAATTAGTTAAAATCTTCACTTTGAGCCAAACCGTCTGTGTGGCGCCCTCTCTATGGTTTTTCCGTGTCACTACAGTTGAAATTTGTTCCTGGACTCTCCATTGGCGTCTTGAGTTCGCTAGTTTTCTGTGACGCAGGTCCTTCCCGAGCCTCGCTTAAGTCTGTTTGACTTGGCTACAACCTCGACTTTGGGTAACAACAACAAGAGTTGACAACGTCAATGGCCAGTTAAGTGCGTTAATTAATTTTTACGCTATAATGAAAACGGTAATTAACGTGAATTAACTGCGATAATTTTGGATCAGCCCTATTATATTAGTATTTAAATATATAATATATCTAATATATCTTATATATTTTTACTTTATTTAAACCAGGAAGTCCAGTTGAGATTAAGGACCCTCTTTCAAGGGAGTCCGAAATAAAAGTCACATACAAGTACAGATTACGGACTGATGTCAAAGCACGTGCTTTCCTGTTGTGTAATCCTTTTGCTTTCTGTACAGCCAACTCGTGGTGCAGGAATGGTCACAGTTCATCTCTGGTTGGGAGACCGAAGTGGTTCAGTTGGACGGGGAACACACTTGACTCCATTTGATTTTCTTAGGTAGTGAAATAACGTAGTTGAAAGCACTTCCAAGTGGAGTTACCGATCTCTAAACTTACTGTATAGAGATAGGTAAAGGGGCTAGGAGGAGGTTCTGCCTTGGTTGATGTTGGCTGCGAGGGAGCACTTGAAGTCCAGGGGTTTGGCCAAGCAAGCTATGGGATGCGAGTTTAAAAGAGTCTGAACCGCCTGAAAAAATCGATTGGATCACGTAACGGGCTTAGGCAACGTCTTATGCAGGGGGAAAACTGGTAGTAACCAGAGCCAAAATGATTCGCCATTTGCAGTTGTCCACCTGACTCCCACATCCTTTCAGCCTGTGATCAAGAGATGGCTTTATGTCCTATTTATAACATCAACATTACAATCAAATATTACGGTTACTGTTCTTGACAAAAACCTCTGAACAAAACTATTTGATCTGATGCCGAAGCGCATGGAAGAGGACACAGTTGTGTCATGTCAACTTTTTGGAACATTTCAATGTCAGTTTCAGTTCAGTTAACTCCTAGGCGCAATCATGCGGTAGGGCGTTCTTCCCTTCTTCTCTTGCCTAACACTTAGCAGGTGGCGTGTCCCCCGCATGCAGAAATAACACAGCAGAGGAAGATCCTCTCCACCCCACCGTGCTAAGCCGCACCGGGACAGCACGGTGTGAGCCTATTTCCCTGGGCCGTATAGACGCTAAGGTGGCCCTGTAAGGTGGGATTGATGCCCAGTGTCTTGTCGGCTTTCAGGGAGGGGAACCGCAGCGGCTACAAAGCAGACTAACTATCAGTTCTAGGACGAATGAAACACAATCCGGGCAACAGAGATATTAAACAAACTCTTCTTGATGCAGCCTCCCCCGCAAAGCTCCTGGCCCGGACCAAGTGTCTCCAGCACTCTGAGACACAGCCGAGTGAGCTAACTCCCTGTGTTTCACTGACATTTTCACTCCTCTCTGCTGTCCTGCCATGTCCGGCGCTTCAAATCCTCCATCATTGCCCCCGTACCCGAAGAAGCCCAGGATCACAGGACACAATGACGTACAGACCTGTAACACACTCCCCGCACATCTCTTCGACGTCATGAAAGTCATTTTGAACGCCTGGTCCTCTCCCATCTCAAGTCCCTCCACCTCCCCCCTCCCTGGCCCCCCTGCATTTTCGCTACAGAGCCAGACAGATCCTGTGACAACGCCATCACCTGGCCTCCCACCACTTCCATACAGCACTTGGACTCCCCGGGACCTAACGCCAGGTCCCTGTTTCGTGACTTAAGGCTCTGCCTTCAACCCGATCCTGCCATCCCTGCTCCAGGACAAGCTCGTCCCAGCCAACGTGCCCGTCTTCCACAGCAGGTGGATCACTGACTCCGACAGACAGGAAGCAGCGGGAGTGCGTCTGGGGAAGAATGTCTCGACTCTCGAATATAAATACAGGACCCCACAGGGCTGTGTTCTATCTCCCCTGCCTTTTCCTGAACACCACACTGCACCTCCAGCCACGACTCTGTGAAGCTGCTCAAGTTCGCGGATGACACCTCCCCTCATTGGACTAATCTCCAAGAACGATTATCCTGCCTACAGGAGGGAGGTGGGACCGGCTGGTTGTCCGGGTGCAGTGGTAACAACCTGAGCGAACGCCCTGAAGACGTGGAGAAATGATTGTGGACTCAGGAAGACATGTCCCCCCGCCCCCACCTTCCGTGATGGCTCTCCCCTTCCGTTTCTGGGCACCCTCCATCACCCAGGACCTCAAGTGGGAGCTGACCATCACTCCCTCTCAAGAAGGCCCAGCAGAGGGATGTACTTCCTGCAGCAGCTCAGGAATGCCAAGCTGCTGCACAGATGTTAGTGGTGCAGTTCTACACGGCCATCATCGTGTGTCCATCCTCACCTCCACCGTCACCGTTGTGCGCTGGAGCCCACAGTCAGGGACAACCAGAGACTAACAGCGCAATGTGCGCTCTGCAGAGAAGTGATTTGGCCGCAGCCTTCCATCGCTGCAGGACTGTACGTCGCCCGAGCTCGAGCGGGCTGGTCGTGATCCCCACAGCCGACCCCTCTCACCCGGCACAATTGACTATTCCAACCACTCCCCTTAGGCAGGATACTGCGTCGCATCAGGACTGAGAACCATCCCGTCACAAAACAGTTTCTTCCCCTCTAAACCTTGTTTGACTCGTTGACACTTCTTAACCTGTTCCCCCCGCCCCTTTATAAAGGCACATTTAACTGCCCATCATACGGTCACTTTACTTCACTGTACTGGCTGTCAACCTTACATTGTGTGCACCATGTGCACTTGTATATTTGTAAATAGTAACGTAACTCTATTCCCTATTTTTAAATGTATTCCTAGAAGTGTTTATATTCTTTATTTTTATTTTTATTATTTCTTCTCTGATGATGCACTGAGCCCGAAGCACTTCCAAGTCTGTGGACTTCCCTGTTACTTACGTGCAATAAAAAGGCTTCTGATTCAGATATTAGTATGCAATAAATGCCCCTACGAGGGTTCTGAACATTGGCCGTTGTCTCTCCCCTTCTGTTGATGTTACGGCCTAGATCCGGGTCGTACAATATACAAAAGCTTATATTCCCAGTTCTGTGCGGCTAGGGGTACTAGAGAACAACAAAAAGATCATTGATCGCAAAACCAAATGGAACTCAACCAGTCTCTTGTGTGAGTAAAATGGGCAGATGAACGTAAGAGGCCTGCAGACCAAGCCTAAGAAACAAAAGTGCACCCGTGTTCAAAACCCTCTGGTGGACAAGAAGGCCCCTCCCACTCCGAGGATATTAATTCACAGTGGTGAGTCAAGGCTTTACAGTATGTAATGAAATTGAAAATTTAAATTGAAATCATTATTTAAGTACAGTTTTTAGTTATCTTTCCTCCTATATTATAAGCCAGTTGTACTGTTTGAAAATGAGTAAAATGTTACAATGGCTCACCATATTAAATATACTTCTTTAGAATGAAACCCTGCATTGTTCTTGATGAATACTTAGGCTTACTACTGCAACTGTATCGTGGTTGTCTTTTTTTGTGGTACTTGGAGGAGGAAAGTATTTTCTTGAGGTGTTACATGGTGCAAAAAGTTTGAGAACCACTGACCGCTATGTTGGAATGCCAGCTGCCAAAAGCTGTACAGAATGTGAATTTCAATAAGGCTTGTGTGTGTTAAAAAAAGATTGACCTGTTACTGGGTTGCGTGTTGGGTTACGTGAGGATTTCGATTCTGAGTGCCTTTCCTCAAGTGGGGAGGAGTTACAGATCCCATAGTTCTTGTTCTCAGTGAGGGAAAGGATGGAGCCATGAGTGAGATCTCAGAACGAGTTTGTGCAGCATTGTGGTAATGCGTCCACTGAATCGAGACTATTGGTCGTGAAGAGACAGGCAAAGCTCAATATATGGTTCACCCTTAAGCGAAGATTCATTTTAGCAAATGCTAGGATTTAATATTACCTATTTAACTTAAGTTCTACGAAAAGGTGCTATCCCTTAGGATCTTTCGCTAGTGGATATCGCTCGGTGACCCCCAGTCACACGCCAGAAGAGATCAAAATAATGTTGCGCCAATCACCCCCACCCTCCTCTATAAAGGCCCGCCCCTGCACACAGCCTCACCCCTCTGAACTCTGCCAGCCGGCTGGCCTGATGGGCTCGTAGCTAAGGGACTACGCACCTATTCGTAAGAACTTAAAGTTCCATTTAGGTAACTATTAATATCTACTCGCATGGTGCTCACGTCCCGTAGGACTTCGTTAGTGGAACACAGACGTGGACTACCTACCCGACCAAAACAACAA